CAAGATTATGTAGTGCTACTGAATCAAAGCTCATCTCTGAATCTTCGTTTGGGTCTTGCGCATCTTGATAATAGTTTCCGTCTTCGTAATTACCATCTTCTCCTGATCTTTGGGATATTTCTAGACCGGGACTTGGACTGTTTCTTTCTGGGCTGGGATATTTAATAATATGTTTGTCTTGCTTATCTTTGTCTTGAAAAAACTTCTCCAATGTTTGTTTAACAATAATTTCTATTTTTTTATTTTTTTTCTTTTTGGAAGTTGTTCCCTTTTTTTCTTAATACTTCTCCTTGTATCAATGTTTTTGGTAGTCTTCTTCTTAACTGGCTTGATGATCCTTCTTCTTCACTTTTTAGCAAAGTGACAGCCATCAATGGATTTGATAGGTCTTTACCGGCTACCGTTTGAACCGGACTAGCTGTATCTTCATCTGATACAGTGGATTTTATTGCATTCAGTATAGAATGCACACCCCTCTCATCCATTTTATTTTGAGATGGAGAACTCAAATGAGGGACTTCTTGGGTCTGAGATTGTACTAGCTCAAACTTTATTGCTTGAAGTCTCTGTTCTAATACTTTTAGCTGCTCCATCATTCTTGATTGTTCTTGTTCTAGGGTTTCATTCTTTTGGTTGAGTCTTTTGAAAGCTTCCGTCATTGAAGAACAATGGTCACAAAAAATTATTTTGTCTGTGTCTTTTTGGATATTATATTGGGGTATTTTTTTTGGATTTTGTCTAAGAGCCGGGGAGATATAATAATTTGGTCCTAATATTCCTCTTGTATAGTCTAATGCTTCAGTAAAGTCGTTGAAACCTTTGAATAAGGGTTTTTCAAAATCTTTAATAGAATCTAATACTTCCAACCATGTTTGAAAAATACCATTTTTCTTGCCATGTATAACTACATAATATTTAAATCTTTTTTCTTGGTTTTCGTCTGTGAAAAATTGTCCTAAAGCATTAAGCGCTGCTATAAAGTATTTAGTGTCCTTTTTATTATAAGCTATCCATAAATTATCTATCAAACACCTTTGTGGTCTGTCTCTGACACATTCTGGTAATATTCTAAAGGACATATTTGAAGGTAGAAAAAATATTAGATTATGTTTTTCAAAATATATTCTATCTATACTAGCCTGTTCTACTGATGCATGTCGTTTAAATAAAAGATTACCTAACATTGTCTGAGAATACTTGTCTGTGGGTGAGGCGTTGATGCCCTTTCTCTTGTCTCCAGTCTTGGGGGCTGTTGGTCTCATGCTGTAAATACAATATACTTATTAATTAACAGTAATCTTTAATCTACTTAATTGGTCTGCTAAATTATTATCTTTTCCTTTAATACGTTCAAATACTAGGTTATATATTGATATAGTATCAATAAAATTTAACCATCTTCGTCTGCTACTATTTTTCTCATTTATTTTTTGGTGAAATCTAACTATAGCTTCGCAATCAGTTCTAATTAATACTTCTGATTTATTTAATATATATAATCTAAAACTATTTAATCCATAGATTACAGCTAATATTTCTGTATCTATACTACTCATATTTTCTTTTTCTTTATATTTACCACTTTGATACGCATATATTTTTTCTTCATTTTTATCTTTATATTTATTGGTTTTTTCCTTTAATACTGCTCCCCATCCTTCAAAACTTCCATCTGTTTCTATAATTAAGTAGTCTGTTTCTAACGGCATGTTTAAGTCAGGAATATTTTTTATTTTTTATTTAATTTTTTGTACTAATTGTATATCTTCTGAATTAAAATATTCTGTCCTGTAGAGCCTGTCTTAGCATATAAAGGTCCTGCTATTTTTCCTAAATCTTTTATGAAACTTCTTGCATAATTTACTATTCCTAAAAATTTCTGTAATTCTTTAATATTATCTAATTTATCTGGCATTTCTAAAGCTTTTTTAGCTATGTGGGGTTGTAATTTAATTTTTCCATCCCCTAATACTACTCCTAAAAAATTTATATAATTCTTACATAGCTCCTTCTTCTTTTTACTAATTATTATTTCATTATCGATAAATAATCTAAAGACTGTTTGTAAATGTCCTGAATGTTCTTTAATATCTTTGCCTAATATACCGTCTACGTATACTAAAATAAATCTTTTATATTCTCCAAATATACTATCCATTTTTCTTTGAAAAATAGGTGGTGCTGTCTTTAGTCCAAATGTCATTACTAGCCATTCAAAATGCCCTTTAGGGCAAGTGAATGTTGTCCATTCTATACTCTCTTCATGTATTTTTACTTGCCAATATCCTGATTTACAATCAAATTTACTAAATATCTTTTTTCTTTGTATTCTATTTATTAGTTCTGTTTTATCAGGTAATTTATATCCATCTGTTTTGGTATTATCATTAAGTCTTTTATAATTTATTACCATTCTTGCTTTTCCTCTTACTATTTCGCTATGATTTCTTACCATAAAAGCGGCTGACCTATGTTTAGATGTAGATCGTCTAATTACACCTAAATTCATAAGTTCTTTTATTTGGATTTTAAAGTCTTCTAGATCTTGGTTTGTGGCTTCTATTGAGGCTGTTTTAATTATATATTCTGGGTTTATTATATCTAATTTACACATAACTTTATTATTTTTTCAATGTTTTAAGGGTTTTTCTCCTATTATTTCTATTTCGTCTAATATTTTTATTATGTTATCTAAATCTTTTTGATTTTTTATTATTCCTATTTTTTCTATTCCTGATCTAAAATTATATAAATCTATTTCAACATCTATTAAAGTATAATCTTTTTCTAATATATCTTGATTATCTTCTAATATTAGGTCTTTAGATTCTTCTTCTATCTTACAACATGTATTTTTGTCTCTACATTCTTTGCAACATTCTTTTTGCTTTTCTTATAGATTTTTCTGATCTATTTTTAGTCTTGTTCTTATTTTAGTTCCTGTATTTATTGTTTGTACTGGGGTATGGGTAATATTCTTAAAAAATATTACACCATCTCTACTAATTAAACAACTACCATTATTTTATAGTATAAAACTTAATCCTAATACAAAGTCTGCATTTATATTTAAGTCTCTTACCCATATTTTATCTAACTTATAACTAGGCTTATAGAAATCTAAACATCTATTTTCAAAACTAATTTGTGATTTATCTATATAATGTTTATATATATTATGTGTCCCATCCATTTGCATTGTTGCGACTGGTTTGTCTAAAGTTTTAATTAATTCTTGTGGAACTATTCTTTTATTTATTATACATCTCGTACATCCAGAATCTACTATTGCCATTGTTTCTATCTCATAGTCTTCTATTTTAATTCGTGCAAGTATTTTTATCGTACTTAATTTTTTATCTTCATTACATATTAATACACCGTGATCTTCTACACTCATTTGTTCTTGATCTTCTTGATCATGTTCTTTAGTCTCTTCTAGTATTTTCTTCTCTTTTTCTAATTTTTGTATTCTTTTTTCTAATTCATTTATCCTTATTTCTAATATCATTATTCTTAGATTGAATGTAGAATCTAAGTTTGGATTACCTATTTCTTTATCTTTCTTTTCTAATTTTATTTTATATTCTTTTTTTATGCATATGATACATCCTTCTAGATAACATAGTTTACACTTAGCCCTTTTACTTTTATTGGGGTACTNTCAATACTAACTCATGCATTACTAATCCATACATTACTAATATACCTTATTCCGCATTATTCTTATACACCGTACCAAACGACCCATTAGAGTAATTGGTAATCAACTTGAACACGTAGTCCACGTACCTACAGTCCCTTTTGTCTTGTAGCTTTTTTGTTGAAGTTCGAGTAATGCAAAGTCTGTATATATATATATATATATATATATATATATAACTTAAACCTTTTGGCGTAACCGGATGCTGATTGAAGTTGAACGACTAGTTCACCGAAATTAGTCCCAAAGGTGTCCACTCACAAATAGAAACTTCTAAACGTATAATAATAATAAAGTGGTCCTTAATTCGGATCAAAACCTCGAAGTAAGCGGAATGACTATTGACTTTCTGAGATACTGTTTGGACCATGAGTGACAATATAGGTGCCATTATCGGCTGGATTTTGCTCCTTGCCACAAGTACACTTCACGTATCCAACCAATGGAATGCCACTATACCTATAATACCAATAAGTTTTTCCTACTTCCTTTTTATTTTTCCTTTATTCATTTGGTTTCTCAATAATTATTTTTCCAATTATAACTCCTACACTCACATGGGCTGCACAAACAATTTCTCAAAATTGGAATTTTTCTGCTGGGCCTTTCTCTTTTCTCTATGCCAATAGAAATACAATCTTTTATACTCTAATCTTTGGTATTATTAGAAAATGGCATGTAGAGCTATAAAACAGAAATGACACCTGGAGCTCATGATCAAAACGAATCCAAAGTCTTTGTTAAGAATACCTTAATTTAGTGAAGATATAGTCACCAACTCCACTATTTCATTGTCGATTATCATAATGTACGAACACTAACATGTATAAGCCATAGGTTTAGTCACATGCAGCCCCGTTGCTTTTACTACGTTAAAAATTCAATGAATTTATATTTGGTTCGCCACTTTTGAGATTTCTCTTGTCGTTAGACATAATTGGAATTGGACCGAACCAAGATCCTTTAGTTGGGGGAATTCTAGTACTGGCAGATGCAAAAAGTAATGACAACAGATATGCATTGTAGCGATATTTTGTTCCAACTAAATATCGAAAATATTAAGTGCCCGGCTAGTTAGTTGGCCTGTCAAAGTCAATGTTGACCATTTTTCTTTTTAAATTGCAAGACATGCATTTTTTAAAACTTACCGGTTGAGGTATGGCCAAATGATTGCATGAATATGGCTATAAATAGAGGAGGCTTTTGCACAAACGAAGAACAAACAAGTGGAAGCTCAAGCTGGTCACTAGACTCACTACTATAGTCTGAGCTTACATTAACTGTTATTGAAAGAGTCATGGCTACTTCTAGTCGTTCTTTATGCATGGCTCTTCTTGTACTAAGCATTGTTATGGCATGTATGAAGCGGGGACATGGGGAGGATGGAGATGATTATTGCTACTATGGTGGCTGGCGTGGATGCAAAAATCGTGTTGGAGGAGGAGGAGGAGGCGGTGGAGGTGGTGGAGGAAGTGGTAATGGAGGTTCTGGGCATGGAGAGGGTCATGGTGCGGGGGCAGGTGTAGGTGTGGGAGGTGGTGGTGGTGGCGGAGGTCATGGAGGTGGTGGTGGTAATGGAGCTGGTGGTTCAGGTCATGGCGAAGGATTTGGAGCTGGAGTTGGTGCTGAAGGTGGTGGAGGTGGTGGAGGGTCCGGTGGTGGAGGTGGCAGTAGTGTTGATGGAGGTTATGGTCACGGTAGTGGTTTTGGAGCCGGCGGAGGTTTTG